TAGAAGTCTTAATAAGAGTTTCTTTAGAGATGTTAGAAAACTCAAAGCTCTGTATCTGGTTAATTGCCTTGAACAATTAACACTATCAGGAGAACCTGATAAAAAAAATTGTCTAGAAGAAAATGGGCACTGATTAAATCAACATCAACTTTAGAACCCATAAAACCACTTTAGATAACTCATCAAAAGGATGACAAACTCTTAGCAAAGCAGTTGCTCGTTTTTCATTCAACATTTGGGTTGTTCTTGACAAGTAGAGTCCAGTTGATCACCTGTTCCCTTCTGCTGCCCATTTTCAAAGCAGCAGAACTCTCAACATTTTTGCTAAAATCAGAGTTTATCATGTTACTTAAGTTCCACATTTAAAAGCAACTGTAGCAGTACGTACGTAATTAAAGGGATTAAGAAATACCTTATGGTAACATAATTTGCACTAGACTAGGAAATTATTCTTGAAAGAAATTCAACAATTATATTTTTCTTGGAGGTCTCTCTTGGTACATTGTAATCTCCATATTCTGCTTTATATCCCATCTGTCTACATACATCTGTTGTCTCTTGCTCTGTACAACAAACTGTTTCAGGCAGTGAAGCATCTATTTTGTGTAACACACCTAGTTCCATGTGCTTTCATAGGGCTAGAAGAATTTAACCATTAAACAATAATACACTTTTCAAATAATAATTTAAAAAAAAACCTAGGCTACAAATTCATACCCAAAAAACATCCAAGATGTCTTATTTCAAAATGAACAGTGATAAAAATACAACCAAACTGTTCTTTGGAATGCATGGTATTATGCTGTATTTTTTTTTTTAAAGGAATGCAGAAAAGGTCAATGAATGTAGACAAATAATTTATTTTTTATTTATTCATAATTTTATGTACACTTGGCATTTTGCAACAGTCAAAGGGAAACAAATTAAGTGCAACGCAAGATAAATATTATAGGTTGACTATATTTTAACACATTTTTGTCATCTCTGAATTAGCAGATACTGACAACTCAGGGAGAACATTAATTTCAACTTCTTTATACTGGCACTAATGGAGTAAACTGCACAACACAGTATTATGACATTTTAAAAGATCCAACACAGCAGAAGAAAATAGGCTTAATTTCCTAAATAGAAATCATTGGTTAACTTTTAACGATAAGAAGATTTTACCTTTGAATTGGCAATATAAGGCATTAGATGATTTCTCCATAATAAATGAATTCCTTCATGAATACAGGGCTAACATTTCTGTTTTGTGTGTGTGTGTTCAAATCAACCCATACTTCATACCCCAAAAGCATGAGTCAAATGAGGAGGAGCCAGGTATCCATGCCAGAGTTGTATCTGCAGATGCAGACACCTTTGGGTTTACACACAGAATGAAAGAAGATAAAGCAGCCAAATCTGAAACGAACAATACACCAAAAACATTATCTTCCACTTACTCTTGGCCAAGCAGAACACAGACCAGAGGGAAAACCTTGTTTTGAAATGTAATCAAGTAGTTACCTAAGTATAAAAGAAAAGCATGAGTCTCAGAAAGGAATATTAAAAACCAATATAGATGTTAAGATAAACACTGTTAGTATACTAAGAAGCACACAAAACTAAAAGTGGGGCTAATTACTGAGTAGGAGCAGAGACAACAGATTTGAGATCTAAGACCGCACACACAGAACGAGCTCTTGGAATACTGACTATATTTAAGACTGCAAAGGAATGGATGTTAGCTTCATGGGCTAATGCAGCTTAAGATCAGGAAAACAGTCCTTAAAAATACATCTGAGAACTGCTGCCCTTCCCTCCAGCTTAGTTTTGTTAACCACTGCCTTCAAGATACTCTAAACATGCTCTTATTAGCCTTTCTAATCTAAACCTTTCCAACCTCCTGTTTGGAAGGAAGGATTTGGGGGAATTTACTGAAGTCAGTTAGGACCTGAATGTTCTCACATGTTCACAGTAGCATTTTATACTTTAGGGCTTGAGCCACCATCATGAGGTGCAAATTAACAACCTCACTGTGGACATTTTTGTGGCACAATACTGAGATGAACTATGTAAAAATTAAGAAGCTTTGGATCACAATCAAGAGTGGCTATCCTCATTTATGCTAATTTGAATTAAAACATTTGCACAACCAACATGTTCCCACCTGCTACTTGTTACTCTTTTAATTGAAGCTAAATGCCCCCTTCCTTCTGCTGATTTTAATAGCCAATTTGGGAGGGTAAAAAAACTCCAAACAACCAAAAGCACAACTACTAGAAAGCAAGCAGTTTTCTAGTTTTAACTAAGATATTTCATAGGGGAGCAATCAGATTCAGTTCAACTAGCAGAGCAAAGCAAGTGGTGGCCTTTGGTGGAAGTAAGTCAAGCCAGAAGACTAATAGAGAGCACCAAGGGGTAAGCAGCCTCTTACTCTGAATCCACTCGTGCTAGCTTCCAACAGAAATTTTATTTGGTCTACACGGACCGCTGCTTTTCCAAAGGTCAATTCAAGACCTCAATAGAAATCTGATCTGAATTACCCTATAGAAGAACCTATCCACTCAGTGACAGGACCCTAGGAGACTAGTGTCCTAACTTTAGTACCTAGTCTAGATATTTAAAATTCAATTATATCAATATCCTCCAGCTACAGAAAATGTGCTTAGAGGCAATTATCCCTTTTGTCCTTCTCAACTTGTTATTGCAAAAAGGCGTAACTTGCTTCTGGTGCTTACAGGCATAGCATGCACAGCAGAGGTATTTACGGATAGTGTCTGGAACTATTCCCTCTATTGCTGCTCTTCCACCTTTACAGAAATTAGTTTCTTTAAAAGGTAATGCAATAGGAGTTTCTTGTTACATTACTCAAACTCCTATTGTGGCAGAAAATGGAGCATACTATTAAATCATAAATACAATGCAAGTATTTTGTTGCTGGTTATATGATGGGGGGCAGAGAGAGACCTATTATGTTTAAATGAATCCAGGTGCTGGGTTTAGGTATTTAAATGTGAAAGTCTGGAGATGCCCTTCCTTCTTATCTGCACATGGGAATAAATGTGAGCAGGAAATTTCCCCAGGCAATTCACACACCTCACTTCCAGAGATCAGGCCAATCTTCACAACCCCCAACTCCACCATTTGCCTAGGAAGGACATGAATGTAAAATGCCTCAAGATGCTGAAGAGGCTTTATGTTCACTAACAAAATCCAGAAAGATCATCATCACATAGATTTCACTATGACAGCTGAAGGGCACCTGTAATTTTCTGAATGCCAAAGTTAAATCAGAAAGTGCAAGGTCCCCCTGTGAACACACCATTTCCTGGTTATTTTAATTTACCTTTAGTAAATAATAACTATTCCAAAATAACTTCAAGCATAGACTAGCCATTAGTTTCCAAATCCTAACCAAGCCAGCAATTCTCCATTTCAGAACAGTGCAAAAATCTGTGGCACCACCGTCAAGAAAATTCTAGAGACCAAGTCTGATAAAAGGGAACCCATCTTCTGATGGTGAGCAGATAACAACTCCTAACAATGGCAAAATAGTAAATATACAAAAGATGGGAACTCACCGTAATTATACGTGGTACCTCCCTAAAACACTCAGATATCTCAGTGTTTTGTAAACTTGGTCCTCTCTTTCACCTGAATTTTCACATTCATTCGACACCACGAACAGGTAACTGCTATACTCAGTTTCCAACAGAGTAAGAATAAATGTCACCTAAACCATGTCAATCCCAATGCAGTGTAAGATCTATGTAAACAAATACTAAAGATACACAAATGAAACTATTCCTAGGGTATTATAGACAATTCAGTTTCTAACCAGAAACTATTGCCATGGCCCAAGAATAGGGTTATTTTTCTTAGTCCTTGGTGTAACTTTCAGTCTTTAGAGTGACAATCATACTCCCATAAAACAGCTGTGAGCTTTGTATGTTACAGATCTGCATGTGGAAAACGTTAGCAAAATTTTATTCCAGTTAAGTTGCATTTAGATTTTCCTGCTGACTTAAATGGAGAGATATGTTACGTCTCCTAAAATAACAAAAAAAAGGAAATGTACAGGATTCTTGTGTCTGTTCTCAATATGACAAGTTCCTTATGAGAGGTATTCTTTCTTTTCCCCTCTCCCTACCTTCTTCAGCAATCAGTACAATGAAGCAAAACCACCAAACACAGGCATATCTTGGATCATAGAACAAAGAAGAGATGAGGCTGGAAAAGGATCTCTGGAGGTCATCTAGGTCCAGCCTCCACCAGCTCAAGTAGGCCTCAGTAGGGCACCCAGTCAGTGGCCCAGGACGATGAGTATCTCCAAGGACGGAGACTCCACAAGCTCTCCAGGCAACCTGTCCCATAAAATGTGTCATCTTGTGTGTTTCAGATTGTGCCCATTGCCTCTTGTCCTGTTGATGGACATCACTGAGAAGAATCTGGCTCCTTCTTCATTCTTCCCCTCCCATCAGGTATTCCTATACATTGATCAGATTTCCCTTGAATCTTCTCCAGAGACTTTACCATTTTTTACCCCCAAACTGCAGCCTGACCTCAGAAAACGATCAGTTGCAAAAAACCTCAGCAATTAAGTGTTACATACACCTGTATGTACATGCATGAAATAGTTTCATTAAATGACAAAAAAAAAGATTTCACAGTAGTAGGCAAAGTAAAAATATTTTAAGTAGTTGATACAAATGAAACTAAGAGACATCGTGACTTGCTGCACAAACATGTATATGAAAGGTCAGTATTAAGAGCATCTAAATGGTAAATCTTGATTTAGAAGTATGAGCATGTGATAGTATGTGGAAAGCTATGTTTCTGGGAAAGGTAACAGCTGATCTAGAGCAAGGCACTTACTTTCTTCACATCTATAAATAGCTCTGGCAACCCTTCCATGAGTTTCCAGATAAATATGGATAAGTCTCCCTTTTTTCCTTTCTCAACATTCTTGACATTTGCATTTCTTCAGAATCTAAGGAAAATGAGTTTTCAAATAGTTGAGGGTATTTTTATTATTTTATTTTTAGAAAAGGTGAACAAAACATGCAACAGAAAAACTTCCTTTCTCCCAATGGATGCCCTTCAGTTTAGGACATCTGTCCTAACTGTGCCATTTACCATCCTTAAATGAAAAGACAAGGAGAAACTAGAGCTGTGCAACTCAAACAAAAGTAACAGTACTTAGTCCATTAGCTGAAAAGGAAAATCTCACCACTGCCTCCTGTTACAGAGGCTGCATCTTCTTAAAGAGACTCCTCCTGCTGTTGCCCTTCTCTGAAGCTCAGGAGGATCTGTAACATGCAACACTCATTTATTTCTCAGTCCTTCCAAATGTCAGTTACCACAACTTGTCCTGTGCCTGGTAACATTTATTAAAGAGCACCTTCTTGCATTTCATTATCAAGTCAGAACTCTAAAAAAATCATAGAAATCCTCCTCTCAGTGAAGGAATAATGCCTTCATTAGGGAAAAAATGTTGACTGCATCTGACACAGCATGTGCAGATGCATTAAACCAGGGATTTCCAGTCTAGTAATTTCAAAAGCTACAACTTACAGAATCATTGTTAAAGAGCAATAATGAACATGTAAATCATATATAAAGTCACTCCCCTAGTCCTCATAATAAAATGCTACATTTAATCTAGTTTTTGTAAATTTAGCAGTCCTGCTGATGTGACATGGGAAATATATCCCATAAGATGCAATAAGTACACACAGTACGAACCAGGACTCAGCACACAATTTTTGCAAATGCACAGTGGGTGACATTTCTGATGACAGTAGAGCAGTTAAACTACTCAGTCTTAATTATAGCAATATGAAAAATTATCAAAATAGTAGCAATACATTAATTATGTTTGTCTGTTCACTTCATGCATTTACAGAACTATACATACAGCCAGTTAGGTACATGAGATTTTGAAACAAGGAATGGGGATGCATTTCCAAAAAAACCCAAACCCAAAAGCCAAACAAACGAACAAAATAAAACAAATTATATACCACAGGTAATGGCAAAGGGCAGAAGCAGATCCTGGCATTAAGAAAACTCCTCAAGGTTGTCAGAATTTATTTTTTTTGCTTCTCTCTGGATGGAATTTGAAGGGTTTGAAGGTTTAAGGATGGATGTTATTTCAGTCTTGTTTTTCAAGACAGGTAGTACAGCACAGGATGGAATTAATCTCAGTTTAGTATCTAACCTGAGCTAAATCACAGCTTCCACAGTCTCCAGAGAGGCTCTCTAGAACATGATGCATTCTACTTTCCTTAAATGTCTGCCTTAAGAGATTGATAACTCTCTAGAGGTGCCCAGATTCCTCCTTTGAAATAGATGTCCAACTTTCAGAGAACTAACATTCAGTGAGATTAATTCTGCTCACTGTGTACCATGACTACTGGACATCTTGTATCTGGAAAACTTAGCATAAGAGCTCTAATGAAATACAAAGGTTTTGGTAGGCTTTGTTGTTTGTGTTTTTTTGTCTGAAACTTGGACCTCCAAGTACATGGGAGACTATAAGGTCCAAACTCTCATGCAAAACTGTTCTATGTAAGTCATGCTCACTAATGGACTTACCAGGTGTATAATTTTAAGAACAGAGACGCCACAGAGCTATGTAACCAGACAGCTCAAAATTATGAATACAAGTATACTACTGAATTAAAGAAGATGCTTTAAATGGTAAAGTTATCATACTAGTCTTTAAAATTACCCAAGGAATTACATCTTTACCTACAGGCCATCCCACATCAATTTCATACAGAGGGTATGGAAGCCCACCTTAAGTTTAAACAGGAGAAGTTCAGAACAAACCCCTTTTTTCAGACACGTCAGCCACGTTTTTTTAACATTTGTGGCCAAAGCACATCTTTTACAAAGCTTCAGAAAGACAGATAATCAAACAACAGGATTAGACAAAGGAATATCCTTAACAACAGACTTTAGATAGAGGGACAGTCTAGTGATGGAGATGATGACACAATTCAAGAGTAATTAAATTCCTCCAATGGAGGAAATGGCATAATTCATTTTGGGTTAAATGAAACTAGAATAAAAGTTTCCCTCTAAACAACTGCTTCGCAAGGAGACAGTCCACAGTAGTGACCGGACTTTGCATTCACTCTTCATACCCTGGAACACCTTTCATGAGCAGACAAACCAAAAGGCACTTTGGCAAAGCAACATTGGAAATCCAGCACATCTGTCCAGGCTTTTCCTGCTGCATGGGTGGAGACGAACCCAGTCTCCAGGTGAAACACTTTTTGCTATTACACTCGCTTTACAAAAGTAACTCCTACATGAAAGGCTTTGAGATTTATACATATATGTTTATGTATGTACATACATCCAAAAAAATTCATATATACACATGAACATATGTGTGTAGATATATAATTTATGCATACGTATGTATAAATAAATAGACACACAAGTGTAAGATAGCAGAACTAGAGAGACAGCAACCTATTCTTGCTTCTTTGTGACAAATGAGGAAGATGAGGAAAGTCTTAAAAGCAGGTTGTTTTCTTTATCCTACAAGTATTACAAATGTCAAGTCTGGTCTAACTTTGTTTTGCTGGAAGACTTCTTGGACTTATAAGGCCTACCTAAAAGAGCTTCTTACTCTCTGACAGAAGGCTGAAGTCTACAACTATAGATGGAAGGAATTCCCAATCGTTTCTCTGCTCTTTGAATTAATTATATGTTGGCAATAGCTAAGTTTTAAACAATCCAAATAAAAAGTCAACTTCAATATCTTCCAAGTAACAACAGAGAACTAAAAAAAAAAAAACAATTTCAAACAGAAGGTGCAACATAAGAAAGAAAAAATTCTTCTGTATTAACAAAATTTCAATTTAAACCTTCTTCACGCTACATAAAAAGCAACAGAGAATGAAATTCTTTACACGTACATGACTACAAAAACACTTATTTGATTCACTGACAAGAAGTTAAACTGTGTTATCTACCAAGTTTACCAGTTTGAAGGCACAATGGCTATCACTTCATCCACATCCCATTCTATTTACAGTGAAAAACAAACAAAACGGATCTCTAGAGAAAAAAAAGGAGATAAACACAGAACAACCCCTGAGAAGTGAAATTTTACAACAAATACATTTGTTTTGAAACTCTGTTCTTTGTAAACTCCCATTATCTGTACCTGTGTTCTCCTGTAACTAGAATAATAATGTTTAATCCTCAATTACAATTAAAAAGATAGACTAAAAAAGTTACAAGCTTACAGAAAAAAAAATTAACCCAAACACAATTGAGAGAAATGAGGTCTCAGAGAGAATCATACCAAAGCTGGCATCTTTCAGTGCGGAAAAAAAAGTAAATCAATCTGAAGTTCTCTGACAATGCCCAGATTTCTAAAGAAGAAAAAAAATGGAATGGCATAAACCAGTTGGAAATCCCATAGTGCCATCTGTGTGGAGGAAAAAAAAAATCAAAAAGCCAACTGTGCATGCCCTTCTTTGGATCTGGAATTCCCCAGAGATTCAGCAAAATTTAAAAATCTGAAGAACTAGGTCTTTCAGTAAAATCAGATAAATGTTCTGTAGCTGTTTCATGACACAGTTTATAAAGTATTGGCACCAGCACAAAGAGTTCAAAGCAGTCATTCAGGAGTCACAGAGATTGTCAGATTTTTAGCAATTTGCAGCAGTCCTCTAGTAGCAGTTGGTTATTTACTGCATGAACTGAAGTGTTCTTTGTCACTGATCTTCAGTACAATACTACACTTCTCTCAGACAAAGTATTTTTCTTCTTATTCCAGTAGGTAATAAGTGCCATCAATACAAGAATAACAGAACCAGTATCAAAAGACAGCGTATATTTTATGGTCCATATGTATCAACAGTGGCTAAAAAGGTAAAATTCTAAACCAAAGTTGTACATAGTAATATACTCTAGCAGTGGTATTCAAGGGGAAAAAAAAGAGAAAAGCTTCATCCAAGAAAGTGCAAAAGGAAAAAACTTCCAGAAATTGTCCATCAACACAGTTTTCCTTCTCCAGAGATAAAGCAGTCTTAAAGAGAGAGTGCAACAGTACTTTGAGCTACTCTCTTCTTGGAAAAACAAAATGAAACAAAAACCCAAACAAAACAAATCCAGTACTAATGTTTCGTGATCATAGAATCATCAAATCATATTGCCCTTGTTTCAAACTCATATTTTCATTGCTGTTTTACTGCACAAAGATGATTGTTTTTACACCTGACAGTAGATTTGACACCAGTGAAAGGACAGTTGCTAATGCATTACCCTAAGTTCTAGTTTTCATGGTACTCTGCACAATAACCAGATCTATCACAAATCAAGTCTTGACCATGACAGAAATTTGAAAATTTCTCTGGAGTTTTCTATGCATTACCAGTTATGATATTAAGTACCTGGCTTAAACTTTGTATTCTCAATACCAAGAAGCAGCTGTCAATCTTATCTTTCATTTCTGCTCTAAGTTCAGGTGCTCCAGGTTCTTGCATTTATCTATTGTGTTGCTTAGGCTGGACTGTAAAACATCATTACAGCTATTTCAGGTGAAGGAAAGGAGAAAACTCTATCAGATACAATTCACTACCAAAACTCAAAGAAGACAAAGTGCCTTGTCTATTTGTTCTTATACACACTTAAACTGGTTTTCAAATAACTAATTATATGCCAGATCATAAAATCTTATGCTGCAGGCCAAACTAGAATGCTACAATATCTGTGTATGTATATACAAATACATATGTATACATTTATATATACACACACAAACGCATGAAAAGGAAGCACCCATATTTTCCTTACTGATAAATATTGAACTTCTGCTTTCACCTGGATATTAACATAGTGTACTGTGTATAATACCCTGTGAAGGGACATTTAAGAAGACATTCATTTGCTTCTCATTAAAGCCAGACATATGGCTAGTATTTAAAAACATGCAGTGCCACCAATTAACAGAATAAAATAATAATTAGGTACAATATCAACCTTAAGAAACATAATACATTTAAATGTATTTTACCCATTTGTGTAGATAATTAATAGTTTCCACTATTTTATAGCAGATTTATATTCTCCTTAAAAAAAAAAATCAGCACAAATTTACGGGAAAACAACTCTGTCAAACGAGTCCCACAGCAGCATATGTACAGAGTCACTGGGTGAAACTCTTTTTTATGAATACATTAGGAAAGCTGGCATTCAGTTCTAGCACAACTCTATTATCGATCTGTGAACAGAAGGACACATCGAGTAAAGAAAGATCTTTACAAGACTCCAGCAATTTTCTTAAAGATGCAGGGCTCACCATCCTCGTTCCTGTTCAGAAACAAAACAAAACAGAATTGTAAAGTTACCAAGAATAGTGGAGGGTTTTAAGCTGTTAATACTGCGTAATTAAAAAATGCTACTACAACACAAGTTTTATCTAGATTATTTTAAATTAGTTTTTAAATTAAAAGCTTTTCAGAGAGCACGTAGAACTTTTACCTTTAAAAAGCCTAGTGTATTTTCTTAACTGCTTAAGTCACCATAATTTCCTATTGGGGGGCAAGTTTACAACTTCAAGTGGAATCTCTTACTACACAAGCCAGGTACCCAGAGCCACAAGACTTCCCAGGGACCAGACGCTGGGCTTAGGCAGCAGCATGGAATGTACAGTCATGCTCTCATGACTCTCCTGTTGAGCACACAGACCATCAGCACAGCAGACCGGGGGCTACTTTGATTCCAAGGCTCCCAGGGCTCTAGAGCAAGTGTGGGTATTACACACATGCAGGGGCAGTTGTTCAAAAGACTGCTGATTATACATACATGTACGTATAAAACACACTAGTTAAACCCTGCTAAAAACAAGGCCACAGTGAATGAACTCCCACACGTCACACAGGGTCAGATCAATCATAGGATTCAGTCACAAACCGAATAAATAAATGTTTATAAACACAAATCCACACACCCATTACAGCTGATGGACTCCAGACAGTCCAGTCCATGGTGCTTAGCACCTGATTCGTCTGAAGTACTCAGTGCCCCTTGGGGACCTTACACTGTGTAGAACATCCACACACAGCTGGCAGATAGGACACAGGACCCAGAGGGGGAGATTCATGCCTACAGGAAAGGCTGGAAGCCTGGCATGTTACTCTAGGCAGGTGAACTGAGGCTGGGTGTCTACAGTGGGCTAAACTGCTCATCAAGCTTTCCCTTTAGAGAATTTATATATCCAACACTACTGCAGAAAACTGCCAGCAGACACTTCAACTCACACAGCTCCATCTTCAGATAACTAGCATCCCAAAAAGCCATCTAGTTCAGGATCTTGTCTAGGGCCAGGGCTAATTATGGTCCCTACACTCCTTACCTCCCCTGCAAAAAAAAAAGCAGATTTTTTAAAGTAGCTTTTTGCTGGTGCATCTTCTCAATTCCCAAAAATTTTAATTTTAGGGAATTGAAATCTATCCTTCATAAATTCTACTACTTTTCTGAGTTTCTTCACACCTACAGCCCCTTAACAAGTTCCACAGTTCAACTACATAATGTTAAAATAAAAGAGAAAAAGCAAACAAAAAGCTCCAGCCTATTAATTGCAATAATTAAGGTGCAATGAAAGAAGCAGTGAGATCATTCCCATGTCACTATTTCTAAATCATTCATACTCCCATGCACATCTCTTCTGCTCCCTCTAGGCCATATGTTTTCCAAACTCCCTTGCATCTCAAAATGACCCCTGTTGTGTTGTTTCTGCACAAATTTAGTACTTTTGAAACTGGATGACCAGAACAACACAGTGCACTGAGCACACAGTCAGTAATTTTATAATAAGTCTTATGATGTTTTCTCCATTCCTTGACTAAGAAACCCTAACTTTCTCTATTCCCATTAGAATGATCCTGGGCAATGAACTGATATTTTCCAAAAATTGTCCACAGGATATCTCTTTCCTACAAAATAGTAGCTAATATAAATCCAGTCCCCTATATATTTAGTTGATGCTATTTTACCTCATGTGACTACTCTGCACTCGATTTAATGTTTTCCTCCTGCTTTATCACCTGCTTAATAAGTATCACAAGACCATTCTGCCATTTTTGAGTGTTCTTCAGTTTAAGATTTTCTGCCCTGAACCTGTGTGTGGCACCATTCTCCCCTCGGACAGGATTACTTATAAGCAGATCAGAACAGACCCTTGGTGACCACAGTAGTTACATAATTTCACTGTGAAAAGAGATGATACCTTGTCCTCTGTTGTATCTGAAACACTCATAATCCAGGAAAAGACAGCTAAGTTACAAAAGCAGCACAACCTTTGCTAGAGCTTTTGAACATCCAATCTTCTATGGATTGGAGTAGTGCTCACATTCACCAAGAACTCCAAGGAATTCTGAAGGACTGGAGAGGCAAAGCTAATACTACCCTTACTAGGATGAAGCTCTTCTTCAAAATATGGTAATGTCCTCTGAATGTCCACTGTCTGACTTTCTCATGGCTGTCACTGGTCTACACAGAGCAAAAGATGATCTTACTGTTTTATAGCTCCTAACCCAAGCCCTTTTCAGAAGGTTGTGCCATGTTTGTAACCCTGCATTACTCTAGCATTGAGGCTCATTTAAAAGACAGATCACACACCAGAAATAAGATTTCCAGAGTCCTGTATTTGAGCTCATTTAGAACCACTGCGTAAATAGCATTTAGTCCTAACAATTTATTATTGTTCAATGTATTGATTTGTTCAAAAGCTTTCTGTATTGGCATTCCAATTTAAGGCAGCTTTCCAGGCTAATCTCCTGGAAAGAATGGCTCTGATGTAGCAGCCTGCTTGATTCCCTCCGCCACGAACACAAATGGACAAACAACAGTTTCTCCTGCAATAGCCTTGTATTGGGCTGAGCCTTCACATCTGGACTATCTACTGAGCTCAATCACTCCTGTAAACCTCTAACACAGCTGAAATACAGTATCATTCACCTCTAGCCAGTGGTTCCTGTGATTTTGTTTCACCTTCTAGAGTTCATCTTACTATTTTCGTTCTCTGAATGGCGTTCTATTTCAGAAACACTCCAGATGGTTTCAGTAGTCTCTAGTACACTTCTGCATAAGCAAGGGGGTATCTAAATGTGGTCTTCGATTATCCTGTCAGGCTCTCAGATTCGTTGCTTTGAGACATAATTGAACATCACTCAAGGACAGTCTGCTATCATGCCCTCAAATTTTATCTCCACTACAGAGACTATGTTTGTCATTATCACTGTGATTTTTAACTCCCTTACCATTATATAATCACCATCATCAGAACTGTCTGGTGGTTCATGCAACAGTCCCTAAGGCTTTACACAGAACTTCTGTAACATGCTTTATTCATTCACTTCATTTGACCATGAACTTTACCACAGTATCACGGTTCTACCATAAGGACCTGCTCTACCATTCCAAATGCAACTCTAGGAACAACACATTATGCTACTTACCTTTTTTTCCACCAAGCCTTAAAATTGGTACTACATCAGCACCTTCATCTAAACCCAGCCTCATTTATGCATCACAGCTTTTATGCTTCAAAATCCAAATGTGTGTTTCTACAAAAATTCTAGACTTAGATGCCTAGCCACAGATTTTTTGTGTAGGATGTTCTTCATTCCTTCCTACCTGAACTTTGATAGTTCTACCGTTTCATCCAAGACTTTTAATAGATCTGCAACTAAGTAGGTCATCTTAAATTGCATGTTTTATTGCACGTGGGTTTTTTTTTCGTCCTCAGACTTGGAATTTTATGTTAGAAAATACCTTTTTCTAAGAGCAATTCAGTTGGAGGTTTGGTAATTCACACCACAGGATAAATGAACAACATCTGCAGTCTTACTTTTATTTATACAATGCACAATTAGTGATGTATGTATCTTAAAAGCCCATTCGAAAGCATTTCAGAATTTTAATGCAGTGCATTTTCCTTTGCTTTTGAAAGACTGACAATATACCCTGCTAGTTAATTACTTATATAGTGTATTTTTCTTTTAAAGTTCGGAGGCTTTTGGACCTTTATTATTTACTGCAACTTCTCCTCATGGACTAATCAGCTATTTCTCACAATACATACATAACCAAAATATTAAAATCTGTTATTTAATTTTGTTGTTCAGTTAATTCTCTGGCATCACCCTTGTAAAAGGCACCTCTGAGTAATGGTCTCTTTGCTAGAACAATTATGTTTATTAGCTGTAAATAATTTAATTTCTACCCATCATACATCCAAATCTTCAAATTCTATAGCTGTTTAGGAGACCTGTGCAGGATAGCTATAAAAACTGCAGAACCCAAATTTTTAGGGCAAGGGACACTGCTACACAACAAATAATATTTCAGAGTACCAAGCTTGAAAATAACTAACTCTCTTCCCTCAAATATTCTGACTTATCTTTTCTTTCTTCCCCTAGATCAGCCAAACTAGCCTTTTATTCTTTACATTTTATTCAATCTATTGCACACAACTCAAATTCAAAATTTTAATGTGCTACACATTTTCATGTTTGAATTGACTAACTACGTGTTGATGTTCTCAAGATAAAGCTGAAAACTTTGACAGCTGGCAAGGGGGCAGTTGGGTTTTCTGTTGCTCAGGAAGGTGTGGGAGGTGTTGGAATGTAGATAGGAATACATGAATTTTGTGGTAACGAGGGTGTCTACTTTTCATTACTCTTTTTGTGCAGGACAGAAGCAGTTGGAACTTTCAGGGACCAAGGTTAATACGATTTACTCTTCACCCTTGACAGCAGCTGAGAACCCCACAGCAAGAGAACTAAGCAGCTGATGTGATGTGCAAGAAAAGCTTTTGGCACTGTCAATTCAGGTTGCCATCTGACTTGTCACATTGCTCAACGCTGATCACAGTTTGAAGACTAGTTTTTTGACTACTGGTCTAGAGGTGTCCACTTAACTTTTGATAGCACTGGCTGATGCACTGCGTCACTACAGACCTGTCAGATGATCATAGCTGGATCATTCTGACAGAGAGTGGAAACATGCCATGTCAGTCAGTGGAAAAGACGTGGGCTGAGAAGGAAATGATACTTGTAAGCAGGCAGTTCAGGATGTAGTGGGTAAAAGAAAGCTCAGAACTAAAAGTTCGAGAGAAGCACATCCTTGTGCATTCAGTGACACACACCACGCTTCCTCTTCCAAACTTATGATACAGCAGATATGGACCAGCCCATGATTTTTTTTTTAACAGAAATTTACTTTCTGTGTTTTACACAGCACAAACACAGCCTGATCTACGACAATGTTTTAGATGGGCCAGTAAGTACACACAGTCGCTGAAAACCAGCAATTTTCATCTTCTACAGAGTCCTCTGACTCTGTAACAAGGAAATTGCCAAACCATTATGGTAAATGACAGATGAGTAGCAAGCCTCAGGACCTATCACCTTAAAACAGTATCCAGGCTCTGTATAATGTGCATTTTGCACCCCTTACAGTTCAACAAGATTCTTTCAGAGGCTTAGACTCCTCCACCCCTGAAGCTATTGTGATGATAAATAACCTATAACTGAAACAGGAAGTTTTCTCTGACAAGTTTCTAAGTTCTAACAACTGCAGAGAGACACCAGTATAGTATCTTCAATGCTAGTGACTATAGTGAAGGGAAGACATTCTGACCCTTACTTAGTTAAGTGCTTGTATACAGCAAAAAATCTCGCTTTTACACAGCTTTGTTGAAGCAAAAGAAGTTCCCTTACAGCACAGAGTGCTAACCTACCAGCAATACCTCTACACTCTTCACAATGCATACACAAGCCAGACATTTCTTTGCTTGGGAGATGACAAAGGATATAATGAGAGCACCTCTCATTTGTTCACATCACAGAGAAGATCCACTGTTCAAGGTTACTCTTGCAAAGCTGAGCTCTGACCTCTTACAGCTTCAGACCTGATGTCACACTTCCACTGAAGGACAAAAACATACTACGCATTTATGCGGCTTAAGGCAACAGCATGGCCCTGTATCACATGCCCAAAGTAAGAGCACTTTCAGAGATTTATGATTTCCTTGGTACTCCTGCAAAGTGAGAGACTCACTCTTTAGTTCAGACAACAGAGACTTCTGCACTTACATGGGAACACCTGGCAATTCTACCTCCAGGTGACAAGATGTGGTTCTACTTGACAGCTCTTTCTTGTAACCACAGACTGTAGTCGTTACTATATGCAGACAAAAAAAATTAACACAGTTTCCTCACTGTAGCCAAAAAAGCAGGATAAGACCTTCATGTATATAGTATCACCTTGTACTGGCTTGTTTACAGCAAAGGACAACCTTTTTTTCACCCTACCAAATATTTCTGTGAAGGAAGAAAGAAATAATTTTTTGCAGATTATTCATTTTTCAGGTAATTCAACTGGATATCCCCTAGAGGGGATTTATCTGAACGCAGCATGCAGTCTCACTGGAAAAGTTTGACTACAAATCCACCTGACTCAGGAATAATGGTAAGCACTCAGGGAACAGAACACACTCCTTTTCCACTTTCACGTTATTAAAAAAACAAAAACATTAAGATGCCAAACGCAATTAAAATCTGAATTCAAACAATAAAGAAATGTAACAGCAAGCCTTCACTGCTGTCAGAGAGGCAACAGAAGTAACAGACTATCCACAAGTTTAACACAGCCAAACTATTCTTTGGGGAGCCTCTGGTGTAGTAACCAGGTCTGACCACTTTGAGGGCAGACACAAGCCCATTGTAACAGAAACATGGAAGTGGGTGCTCAGGGGCACATGAGTGTTTCTGAAAGGCTAAATTCACTACACCAGTTGGAAACTTTTCATGTCTGAAGAGTGCAGTGTGCCCCTGATAATTCAGCTACAAAGCAGATTCTCTTAAAGATATGCAAAACACAGTACCCCTGGGAGGCATAAACAGAATATATCTACAACTTGTACTAGGTGGAGTCGAGTTTTTTCTGCTCATATGTCTTTCCCATGTTGGTCAGAAGGCAACCCTCTCAGTAGGAAGTTGAGTTAAACTCTTTATCATTACAGAAGAGTATACTGGAGTGCCAATCTGAAGCCATACGGTAAACACTTTGAAATTATAAATGCTGATAAGAATAAATCCTTAAACTCGCTTGGAACATTATTCATGTTGATGGCTCTCAGTTCTTAGCCCTTTCAACCTAAATGTAATATTTTCATTACAATTATTAAACATCAGAAGTACACAGAGTAACTGCTTTATTCCTTTTCATTTAAATCTTCCTTTTTCAGCTAACCTGTGAAACTAAGTTGGTAAACCATGAAGAATTTTCTCCCACACTGATGTCACAAACATCCCTGCTGTCCTACATTATTATAAAAAGAAAACCTCATATGCCACCATAAAAGAATAAATTCAGCATCACACAAAACTACACTTCTCAAAGTCCTTACTCAAGAGTTCAAAGTATATTTACTTTAGATCTCTAAAAATATTTTCAACTATGGAAGCTGCAGAGGATTAGAAATTTCAGATCTGCTATGCTTTTTGACCCTCATCACTTCCTTCCCACCTTACTACAAAGTCTATTTAGGTTTTGCTGTTAATTACCCTTTCATCTTTAATAACTCAAATTCACTTACTAATAAAAGTGATGAAGAAATTCAGTATTGCATAGTATATAATATATATTATATAATATATAACAAACACTTATTGCACAAAAGCAGAATCTGTTTATTGATCACTGACTCATGCTATAAAAATACTTCATCACACTTCACAGAAATAAAAACACAAACTAAAGCAGAAAGAATGATACGAAACTGGATCTTCTGATAATCAAAAGAGAAATGCTTCAGATAAAAAAACTGATGGTCATGAAAACAAAAGTTAGTGGAAAAATTCTTGCACTTAAATTCCAGTTTAAGCAATTAATACTCAGCAATCAAACTACACGGCTGGTATAAATCCACTGGATTTTGACTCAGAATTCATTCAGTGAGCAAAAACCACATGTCTAAAAGACAGTTTTGTCTTGAGGACTCCTTTTTAACTGAAAGGCTTTTGAGACACCGTGAAAGGAACACCAGTATCCTCACATTCTCTTACCCAGTATATCCAGCTGCCGCAAGTGCGTACAGTTGGCAGCGAGCTCCTCGATGTCTGTGTCACACACAGACCTGTTGGCCGTAAGAAAGAGCTTCTGCAGATTCGGCAGCTTGCGTGCAAGGTTTGTGAAGCAGCCTGTACTGCTCTGCAGTGTAGGACACCAACCAAGATCAAGTTCTTCCAAAAGCTGGCAGCCTGAAGCCAGTTCTGCGATCCCATTTTCAGTTATGTTTTTACATCTCCACAAATCCAGACTACGAAGCTTTTTGCATTTTGCTCCCATCATGCTCGCTATAAGGTCATAGTCTTCAATCTGCAAGGAAAGCAGACACTCGGTCATGTGCAGCATCATTCCAGACATATAGAGGTGTTTCAGGGTTTGCTTCCTAGCACACGTAACACAACTGTCTCAAGAATTTGTCATTTCTAAAGAGCTCTGAAAATTGTTCATTGCATGGTAGAGTGATATCTAGTTTTATAAAAGACAAAAATAAAATAAATTCCCTATAAAACCCAGACACAGCTGCTTTTAAATTCACCTAATACTGAGGATCAAACGACATCAAAAGTTGTCTCTTTGAAGAAAGATTTTTTTTCTGCACGTTGTTTTCCCCTTAAAAGATGATTACAACAGCTTTTATGACCACAGGAAGTGCAACTACTGAAGAATGACTGAAGACTGTACTTATTTCCATTTTATGTTGATCAGTTGCTGCATCTCCTTATGAAAGTCTTATTAATTACGTATTAAGTGATTACAAATATAGAAAATGCCCAAAAACTTAGAAAAAGGCTGAAGAACTCTGAGAAAGCCTACAAGCCATTTCAGGCCTACTAAATTAGTACATAACCCTAAATATATGACGAAGCTGCATTCATATTGGACCTTCCAAAAGAGTAGTCTTGTATCAAGCTCGCATTTAACACACCTTTGTGAAACAAACCCAGATTGGTTCTAAAGCAAGTGCACACACACACACACACACACACATACATACACACAATGCCCCCACATATGCTGAATGGTCCAAGCACTCACCATGACACAGCTGCCCAAGCTGAGGTGCTGCAGCTCCGAGCAGAAGTTCAAAATACTGAGCAGGGCTGTTTGCTGCCACGGGGGAACACATCAGAAGGAAATACAGAAAGTGAAACAAAGAGAAGAGGTCAATTAGACATTAAAGGCTGTCATCACATTTCCTGAAATACAGCTTAAAACTCTTTTACAGGTGCCTCAAATGCCACTTAATGAGTCTCTGGGTACTTTACCCATTGATTGGCTTAAAGAAATGGTAATCGTTACAAACCTTTATGCAAGTCACTTTGGATGGCGTTCTGTGCTGCCCTGCAGATACCCACACACCACTGACCTATCCGCTCATTTCCCATAGGACAGCTGATGGAGAAGTGCAGCAAGATCAAACAACAGGCAAGGCCAGCCTGCAAACACAAAGGGCTGGTGACACACCAGGAGAAGAGGGCAGGTTCTGACATTCCCTGATCAGCTACAGCCTGATGGAACTGCCAATAGAGCTGCACAGCACCAGGGCTGGGCTGGGGACTTTAATGTCAAAGGCGGCTCCGTGCTGACAAGGATGCTGACAGCCATTGAGCACTTGTCATTACTATCACGAAGACTGAAACAGATATAATGTGTATTTCACATTCCTGTTCCTGCCATCTAACGTTGCCATTCTTTGCAGAAAGTACTACACATTGCTCAGCCTTAAACTGGACTGCACCATCACATGCACCTTACAAAAGTGCACAGTTGGTCTGCTCCATAACAAAGGAGACTTTACAGATTTTTACCTGTGTTTCTAAGATACGGAAAAGATCCTTCTGCATTGTCTGTAGCCATATTTTGTTTTGTAGTTGGAAACACATACAGTGTGAAAAAGAATATAATCTGGGATTCACGTCACAAATACCTGTGCATCATACTTAAAACATCACCTCATGAGAACTTTTGATCTATATGAGCTTTAAAACAGGACTAAGATTCACAACACATTAACAACAAAAATATGTGGATTTCTACAGGATATACAACAGTTTCTAACAGAAAAAAAACCCAAGCAATATACAAGTGACAAAGTAATCTACTGCTATTAAGTGGAATTACAAGAACAGTAATCAAAAATGTTTGTATGCAGGGGTAGTATAATTTGTAGTTTCTTTAAATACAAATTTACTTGTTTTCAGAAAGTTTATAGTTAAATGCTTTACTTAGTTTCCTCAGTTTGTTACATTCCAATGGAACCTGGCAGAAATATGATCCTTTATCCTATCACCAAAAAGAAACATCTGATTCCTGGAAAGACTGGCAGACAAAGAACAGGGACATAGCACGGGATATTCACAGAAACCGTTTCAGGCATTTAATTCAGGTGTCTCCAAGGAGCAATTATAAACACCCAACGCTTGACATGTATGGAATCTTGATTCCAACTTGGCCTTCTAAGATTTGATTTCCCAAAGGCAGCCTAAAAGTAGATGCTAAGAGTAAGCCTTCCCCACATATGTCTTGGTAGAAGTCCTATAAAGTTACCGTCCCTTGCTTGCTTGACTTTCATTCACTTTTTAAAGGAAAAGGTAGCTAGGGAATGAAATGCAAGCATTAAAAAGTCATTATTCAAGAGGTTATTAAGAATATTTTAAGGTTGATAAATGTGTAAATATCCAATTCATTTTAAATTGAGCACTTAATAAGCAAAGGGTTCTTTCAGATCATTAAAGAGGAATAAACAACTCACAGAGAATGAGACATAGTCTTTCCTATTCAACTCAGTGAAAGCTATGAGCTTCAGAACCTAATGAGATGCACAAATTAAAAGCAAAATGCCCAAACCCTTGTCTACAAACCTTAAATATCAGAGCTAAACAGATCAGTCTATGACTGCACACAGAACTCCAAACAAGGTTTCTGCAAGAATTCAGATGTCTCCACAGCAAAGATGAATATATTGGTGCAATCCACCAAGTCTTTTAGTAATGGTTTCCAGATTGGAATTTAAACACTGGCCTGAAAGGATGGGAAACAGCAATCTCTTTCCTTAATTGACACAAACAGTACAAAAGTGAACAGTCACTTTGAACGGCTTGTAGGATGTGAGATCAATTCCATGCTTCTTCAGAGAGGGGTGAAATAGAGAGGTAGACTAGTATTCATAGTTATCTTGATAGATAATTGAGCTCCACGTGCTAACTTCAACAGGAACGTCATGGATCTCTCAGAGTACCTTTTTAGTTACTCTGATTTTAAAGACAGTCCTTCCTGTACTGCCATTCACTGAATCAAAATTTTCAAAGGTCTTTTCACAATCTATTACTTTAAACCATCATTAAAAAAACCAAAACAACTTAAAAAAAAGCACTAGAAATCTGAGTAATAGAAGGAAACTTGCTAGAACACCATGTCATACCATCACAAATTATGCCAAGTCAAGCCCAAGAGTAAACAACTACATACTCAACATTCATTTTACTGGCTATATTAATTCCTCTTCTGGGGCGCATACATGCCCACACACAGCAAACCAGATTTCCTTCAGACGCAGTGTCTGTTCTTCTGTAACTGAGGTGGGCTTTGCATATGTCATGTAAGAAGAAAAAACCCTTTGTGCATGCCTAGCAGTGTCTCAGTCAGTTGAGAATCCAGGTGGCAAAAGACATGAAAATAGCAGGAGAGAATGGCAGCTCACAGAATCCATATGCACTACATATAGAAGGACTATCATTGTAATAACCTGTCTGTGTCAAGCCATCTGTCAGTACAACAACATGAGCGACAACACTCCTACTTAAGCAAAGGAGAACAGCAAGGCAATCACCCGATCCTGGAGCTGTAACACAGGCCAACTTTCAAATGTTAGACTGCTTTGCAAAAGGAGCTAAGAGGCCACCTAAACTCTGGATAAGCAAGCTTTAGCCTGGAGTCTAGCTTCACTTTCTTGGCCAAGCAGAGACAGTCAAACCAAAGACTATCCATCAAACAACATTCTTCAGCCTAACAGCCAAGACATGTATCGTTTTGAAATTTTTTGAGTTTTCCCTGAACCAAAGGCAAAGTTTAGTTTTGTACCTGCTCCTTTTTAAAGGGACTGAGAGAAGAGTGGATGATTATAAAAACCCCAAAATACACTAAAAAAAAACCAAAACAAACCACTCTGGCTCTGGAAAGAAACATTAGGTAAAATTTACTTTTGCTTAGTGGAATCATGGCTTCAGCGGTCTAAATTTCTTTTGCCATCCAAGCCGAAAAAAACCTACCAAAATAATCAATGTTTTTTAAGATGCCACAGACAACAGGAAAAGTTCAAAGTGGGCAAATAAAATGGTCTGCCCTGCCCTCCGTTCCCAGGAAAGATGTTTTCACATGAGGAAAATATTCAGTGAAGAAGTTGTTTTCAGAGAGGAGACTTTGACGTCAAACTGATCAGAAGGATATGACAGTGCTGCTAAACAACCTTACAGAGCAGATTTCAGAAATATTTTAAGGCATAGTAGTTAGTCATAAACCTCAGAAAAAGGGAAGATGGCCTGAAGATTCTCTGAAATCTTTAAATGCGGTAAAACAAATGTTTGCCAGAAAGGACATCAACAGGGCTGGTCCTGGCTTGAACAAGAGATGAGATTACCACTTGAAATCCTACTTTACTCCATACAAGACAGGTGACAGGTCTGTCCAAACATCAAAGTCCTCCACTCTGTAATACATGCCTGGATACATACAATAATACTTACTGGAAGACAGTTATTTGCTGTGTATACTTCAAATAAACAGGTGGTGTTGGACTAAATTGTATTCTACCTGTCTTTCTAAAGGCCTTGGCCATCACACAAGTTTTGACTTCGATGTTGTAAAAGTACTGCTGGTTTGAACTGACAACCCAGCAGCAGAGAAACCAAACACTGGTGCCAGAGCAATACACTTGGCAAGACTGAATCTTTCTTGACATTTTCCAGGATTTTTTTACATTCATGATCCAGCAGAAAGCACAAATCGTTTCTGATGTTAGTATGATAAAGAAAGCATCCAATGGATAGCCTGTGCTCAATGTCTGTTCAAACAGAAAACCCTTCTGTCTGTGACAGATGTGACTCACCTGTGAAAGATGCATTTACAACATTTAACTATTTACTCATTGCAGTTTCATTATCAAGTAGCCAGAGATTAAAAAAATATAAAAAGGGTTTAAGAAATACAAATGATGCACTATAATATGGCTATCACATAACAGCTGCACTACCATACAAGGTATGAAAATAAGGGCGCTACAGTGTGACTCTGGAAGACTAAAGGAAAAGATTAAGAAAAGCAACAAAGCTTTGCTTTGGGATTGGATTAGGGAAGAAATAGTCTGCAGCTTTTAATTAACTTTCTATAGATAAATCTTAAAAGATATTTTAAGATTTGTTACTTTTTCACTGGATACAAACAACAGGTTATTTCCCTTTCTCAGAACTGTGTCTGACATAAATAGGGAATTCTTCCAGACCCTCAATAAAACAAGAGCCTAAGTCTTTTAAAATACTCAGTCTTCTGCAACTGTTTCTTCAGATTTTTCAGTGAAGTCAATACTATAAGACAATCTAAAAATTGGTAGTAAAAAAACCCAACCAACCTAACAAGGTAATACTCAGAAGAAACCAATTCTATTTCCATCTGAGTGCCACTACTGCTACAAATATTTGTAATTACAAACACCCTATACAAATGTAAAAGATGATCTTGTTAAGACTGTCAAAAGTAATTACAAATCTACAAAAATTCACAATACTTATTTTTTCCTCCCTTTGGCACTATACAGCACTAGAAGAAAGCCAAAAATCAACTGTTTGGGTGAGGGGATTTTCTTGGCACACTCTGTGAAAGAACTAAGTCAGAAATTACTTGGTATCTGCTGTTCTACCACACGATTAAAAACCTCATTGGATGCAAAGCCAGAATTCTGTAAACTTCTATTAACTCATTAAATCACCTTTTGGAAAGTGCAACTGGGCAGAACAATATAGTCTGTAAGTAAAAAAAAAGATCTACTTCACAAATTTCAAGGTATGATACCTCCACATCTAAACACATACGATCATGCTGCAGTAGTCCTCAAA